ACCCTTGGGATTATCCCTCTGTCCCCATCCAACCCCTGCTGAAGTGCTGCCATAGCTGGGAGCCTTGCCCTGGAGTCATGCAAAAGCATAATTACGCTCCAGGCTCCGTCCCTATCCGCTCCGTAGATGTACAGGATATCCCCAGCGCTGCGGTGCAGGCATCTAGGCTTACAAACGATCCTGGCAGCGCTCCACGGGGTGGTGGATAGTTGCACAACCTCGCCTGCATCCTGCAATGTGCTGCCTCTTTGGTAACGCTTTCCTTTCTCCCGTCCTCCTGGCGTCGTGTCTCGGTGGGGAGCAGACTTGCTGGGAGAGTTGAATCCTGACAATCTGGGGTCTTCTGCATATCCAGAGCCAGGTTTTTTCCCTCTCCCAGTCCTTCCAGTGGTCAGGAGAATGCTTGGAAGGGTTGTCCCCCTCTGAGCCCCAATACTTTGGCCTGGAAGTCTCCTGAGAAATGGCCAGGGCAGGGCTTGGGAGTTCATTTTTCTGCAGGAATGAATTGTGGGGGAGGATGGGAAGGGAAGGTGCTCTGCACTGCACGGGGGGATCGGGTCGGGTGTTTCCGAGTTCCCCAGAGTTAAATGCTCTGTTTGCCTCTTCCTCCAGCTCACACACGATCCAAATCCCACCTGCACCACCTGAAGAAGAGGAGGAAGCTGGAGGCCGCCAGCCGTGCTGCAGAGACTGAGGGGGACAGTGGGGGCACAGAGACCTCGGGCGAGGACAGCAGCTTGCCTTCGCCGTAGGCCTGCAAACCAGCTGGCGACGGGGAGCAGCCACGCTTCCGCCCGTACGGCGAGGCAGCGACTTAGTCCTGGGTGGCCTTGAACCGAACGAGCTGAGTCATTTTTTTCGGGATGAGGCAGGTGTGTAAGTGACGGCCAAAGGCTGCATCAGATCCTCTTCATGTGGCCTCACCGCGCCCGTGTTCCCATGCTGCCTGGAAAGGGCTGGGCCCCGCGGCAAGGCTGCTAGGAGCATCCTCCCATGCCAAGCGTTAATTCCTGCCAGAGATGCAGCATTATCCTTGGAATGGTTGAGCTGATCCTGCTGGCATGCGAACGTGTCGTTCTCAGAGGCAGAAATACCCCGCACTCCTCCAGCTTGGCCAGGAGTGCAGCTCCGGAGCTGAGTGAGCTCTTACTGCCTTTATTGTGGAGAGGATATTTTTTTTTCTTTTATATGGAAATAAAGTTGTAAGATTATTGTGGGTTCCCCTCCCTATTAACAAGCGCCGTTTGCTTTCTCTCTGTTCCCACCTGGCCCAGGTTTCCTGCTCTGGGCACAGGGCAGGACGGCCAGGCCTGGTTCCTTCTTCCAGCCGCCTTTTCTGCAGCAGATGTTCGCAGCTTGGTGCAGGCAGGCTGATCCCTGTGCACAGAGCAGGTGCAGAAGGAGCTGGCACCTGTTAAACAGGAACTTGGAAATGATCTCATCAAGTTTGCAACAGATGAGGCTGTCCTAGTTAAAGCTGAATTCCCGGGGGTTTACACTGTGGTTTGGCAGCGGGAACCGGCCCCGCGTTTGAATCCGAGTTGCTGAGCAGCAAATTCCTTGTGCCGCGTCCTCGAGGCAGTTGGTCTCCACGGTGTCGTTCCTGGAGGACGCGAGCGCCGTCTGCGCCACCGCGCTTCCCAGCGTGCCGCGCTGGGTGAAACTGGGAGGGCCTTTTCCAGGGCGTTTGGGATTCTCCTGGTGAATGCGATCAAGGCAGTTCCTCCTGGGAGGGTTGTGGGCTGGTAGAGCACGATTTTTTCCTTCAGCTGCTTGCCATACGCCATGTGGCAAGAGCCATCTCCCGGGGCGCAGCCTGCGAGGGGAAAGGCTGCGTGGGCAGATCTGCCATCACAGGCTCTGGAGGTGCCTGCTCTGGTGGGGGTCAGCTTAAACCTCCAGTTTGTGTGCCTCAGCGTTGAATTATTTCTGTAATGCTCCGTGGGGTGGCTGCCTTGGGCTGTTCGATAGGGGCGTGGGGTGGCTTGGGAGCTCGGACTGAAGGGAATATGCAGGGAAGAGCTGGGAATTTGGGTTAGCTTTTCTCTGCCAGCATCGGACAGAGCTGGGCATCAGCTTTGAAACGCTGGGCACCGCGTTTGTGTTGCTGGGTCTGTCTGCAGCGCCAGCTGAACCTCTTCTCGAGCCCAGACTTGTTTGCCATCCACGCTGACTCAAGCGTGTGTGGATACGGGCTCAGCCCAGCGCTGGAGCAGACGGCCAAGGGGTCGTGGCGTGGAGCCGTGTTCTCCTAACCCGGATGGACGAGCTGTAGGTGAGGCCGGTGTAAAGCCCCGTTGTTCGCTGATGTGCTGAGCGTGGTCTTGTGATAGCACGGGGGCATGTTGAGTCACCTCCCCAGGCCAGGCTGGGAGCGGCGGGGCAGCTCTGTGAGTGCGGGGTGGGATTATCTGCTCTGTCTCCTGAGCGCAGTCAGAGGACCATACTCTTAGAAATGGATTTAATATCCTTAATCGGTTTAATATGAACTTTGTTATCCCCACAGATAAATGTTATTCCTCTACCACAATAGCTGCTAGTCTGCCTGTTCTGGTCAAGAGCCTGCTCCTAACAGGCTGTGCTGCAGCTGCTGTCGGGCAGGGTCTCCCAGGCCTTGCCCCTGCTCCGTGCCGCCCGCTGCGGTGCCCTCGTTTGAGGGCAGCAGCTCCCGGGTTTCTCAGGAGAACCGGGGTCTGTCGTACTTGCTTCTTCATGCTGTGGCCGCGCCAGGCAATGGAAGGTGGAAGCCCGCCCTGATCCTGCAGCAGCGGGAAGCAGGTGAGTTTGCTTTCTCCGACAGGTAGGGGCTGTCGATGAGGACAGAAGTTTTTATTTATGCAGAGCCAGGGCCAGCATCTCGGCGATGATTTGCTCTCCGAGGAAGAAGCTGGTGTCTGTTGTACCTCTGCTGTTGGAAGGTCTCAAGGCAGGACTGGGACTGAGCTCCTGGCAAGGGTCGCACCGGTTCCTGGCGCCAGCACACGTTGTTCAGCTCCTGCTCCTCTTGCTCTGGGCCCGGCCGGCTCCTGCAGAAGGGACAAACAACGTGAAATCGCTGTCCGGTCCCGGCCAAGACTCGTTGAGAAAGTTGTGGTGGTCTCAGGTTTCAGGCTGCTTCAGTGCCGAGAGGTTTGGGGATGGGGAACGGCACTTGGCTCCATCTGCCCTCTGCTAATCCCCAGACAAACGCAGCTCTTCCATCTGTGCAGCCGGAGCCGCCGAGCCCATCACACCAGCCACTTAATCTAAATGGCTTTGGCCAAAGATAAGGTCATTAATTACACTGGCATTAGAAAACAGTACAGGCCTGGCGTGGCTTGGCTCGCCATCAGTTAAAGTCCTCGGTGCCCTGGCCCGGCTGAGCATCGCAGCTGGAGAACTTGAGCTGGAAGAGACCCGTGCCCTCGCCGACGGGGCATCGTCCCTGTGGCGCTGCCTGTCCTCGGAGGAGTCCCCTCGCCTGGGCACCGGCGTTTTGGCAGGGTGCTGGGATGGGATCCTGTCCCCGGCCACCGGCAGGGCTGGGCGTTGGTGATGCAGGTCCCAGGGAACAGCCCGGGAGGAGCGCACGCACCGTGGCAGCCAGGGCAGCCCCAATGCTCGCATCTGGCAGCGAGAGGTACCCGGGCAGCATCCCACCATCTGCCTCCCCAGCACTTACTGCTTCCAGCCTTCACCAGTCCCTTCCACGGCACCGCATCCAGCTGGGCCCCGACTCCCTGCCCGCGCGGGAAGGTGGGATTGCTGATTGCATTGCTGCCGCCAGCCCCGGAGCTCAAAGCAGCCACAGCCCCTCTGCTGATCTCAGATCCCACGTCTGTCCATGATGTTCAAGGACTTGGGTTTGCTTCCGTTTCCTCCACCTTTTGGTTCCCTGTTCGTACCACGTTTTGGCTGTAAAATGCTCCAATCTGCTCATCCTGCAGGAAATTTCTCATCCATGCTGCCCTTCCCTGGGGTGGGATGTGCCCCGCAAGGTGCTGCGTTGGGGACAGCTGGAGCTGAAGCCAGGGATGCGGCACGAGTTTGGCCTCAGCCCTGCCCTCGTAAGGAAGGGGCAGCACCATGGGGGGCCATTACGGGTGGCCGGGCTGCAGCTCTGCGCCAGGAGCCGGCCGACACTGGGGCACCGTGGCACAGCTGCCATCTCGCCCAGCACCGGTGACCAGCTGGTGTCCGTGCCTGTGTTCGCTGGTGGGTTCAAAGGGTCCGGCTGTCCCTTAACTCCCGTCGGAGGTCCTGGATGGTGACACTGTCCTGGCTCTTCCTGACCCAGTTCCCACACTGTGGGGACAATCCTGCCCCGGTGCCTTGGACGGGCTGGGGACCGTCTGGGGGATGGTGTCACCTGGGGACGGCGGCTCCTGCAGAGACGAGGCAGCTGCAGCCACCGAACCGAGCCACGTCCTGGCCTCATCTTCAGTTTCCAGGTGGGATCGTTGTGCCGGGGAGATCTAACGAAGCCCTGGGTGATGGGCTCGGCGGGAGGGAGCCCTCGGGGCCTGCTTGGGGTCGGCAGGGCTGGCTGGCATCGCTGCTGTCGCAGGGCTGGTGGGCGAAGGTAACTAACGGGGAAACTGAGGCACGGTTGGTGCATGGAGTTGCTCTGAGAGCTGCCGGAGCTGGGAGCAGGGCAGGGTGTTTCGGATCCCGTGGCCCATCCGGTGCCTCGGCGGCATTTTGGGCGGGCTGCGGGGAAGCTGTGTCGCAAGAGCCTAAAAATAAAAGGAGCTGTTGGCCGAGGTTGTGCAAGAGCGTGCGCGTCCCGCGCCACGCGGGAGTTCGGCGGCTTTGGCGGCAAAGCCTGGGTGTGTGCGGACAGATCCCGGCACCGGGCCCAGAAAATGCTGGTAGCTGAAGGGCTGGGGGCTGCCAGCTCTCCCCCGCTCTTTGTCCCCTTCTTGTGCTGCCCGCGAGCCCCCAGGGCTGCCGTGGCTGGGGGTGCTGGTGGGTGCCCATGAAGGTTTGGGGACATGGGGGCTGAGCTGAGCTGTGGTGGGTGGGTGGGCAGGATGGGTGTTCCCGTGTTGGCACCCTGAGCAATTCACTGGGGGGGTCCGGAGCCCAGGGGGCTGCGGGGACCCTCCCCATGCACCCTCCAGCACACCCCTGAGGCAGCGGTCGTCACCCATTGCACAGGTGGGGAAACTGAGGCACGGGCATGCCACCAGGGAGCCACCCTGCAGGAGGGCTCTGGGGTGCTGGTGTCACACGCGGGGTGCCCATTGTCCCCCGGCAGTGCGGGGGGCCGTGCGGGGCAGCGAGGGGGGGCCGGCGGTGCTGGCAGCCGCCTGCGGCCGCCTGGCGGGAAAGGCCGCGGGAAGGAGCGCGCCGTCCGGCTGGCGGGACACCAAACTCCGGGGGACTTGGCCCAGCGCCCCGGGAGCGTGGCCGTGGCGGGGGGGGGCCTGGGGGGG